AAAGCAGACGGTTTGGTTCACCTTTATGCTTGCCTACATATTTCCCTAGGAGTACCCAAGCTAGGGATGTTCTCCTCAAGATTGTTGAGAGAAGTACTTACCACTACTTTCTTCAACCTGCCAATAGCATATAGAAGACACTACGGTCATGTATAACTTCCTAGTTAAGACGGACCGATTACAGTAAGACTCTGTCTGCAGCTCTGTCTGTTCACTGGTGTATATAAGCCTATGCAGGGAAACTTTGCATTTCTCGGAATACTCATTACAGAAGTTGTGAAATTCCTTCAGGAAAAATTAATAAGAATTGTTCGTGTGAATGTTTAGAGAAATATAGTTTTGTAACAATTTGTTAGACAGTTCATCGGTAAGGACAAAAGATCTGTCAAATTATCTAAATTCGATGGAATGCATTATAGTTTTTGTTTTTTTTATATCTGAGGTTTCTTGCGAGGAATGTGAAAACTGCTGACCAGTCTCTGCAATCAATCAACCAACTTCTGCAGTTATGCTCAAAATAATAAATCTTTAATTTAAATCTAATCAATTGAGAACAAATAATTTATTGAAGTAAAGTAAAAATATATACGCGGAAATAACATTTCTGTTTATATCAATTACAAGTAATCCAATTAACTGCACATTTCAAATAAATACGGAATTTAGTTTTCTCAAAATAGATATATAAATTGATACCGAAATTTATATATATACTCCCTATTGTGTTATAGATACTAACGGTGGTTATTCAGGTTAAGGTTCTTATGGTAACCCGGATACGGATTGCGTAGCAGTGGAATCCTACTTGGTTTAGTAGCGGAAACTCCAATAGGCGCTGGAATTGATACTTGCTCGTCGCTGACCGGAGAAATATCAGAATTCTCATTTTTTACATTTTCAGCCACTTGTTCAGTATTTTTCTCTAAAGCATGCTTAAAAAAAATATTGAGATAATTAGATTATTATTAAGGTTATTTAATATAAACTCTTTTCACTTACGTTTATCTTTTTTAAAAGTTCTACATTTGGTGTTGTTGCTTTATTATAAAACTTGAGGTATTCTGTTCTACTTTCCTCCAATCTTTTTCCAAAAGATGCTACCCTTTGTTCCAAATTTTTGTGTCTCTCAGTTACACGACGCATTTTGCTTTCAAAATTATCAAAACAGACAGAAAGATTGGACATGAAGTTTGAAAAAAGATTATTAAAATTTTCCTCATACGAAGTCGATATATCGGAACATTTATTAGGCTAAATAAAAACAGTGAGTTAGGTATTTTTATTTTTTAGAAAATTGTGATATCACCTGTTCAACTATATTTATGTTGGCATTTGGCTGTGTTCTTATTATTATTGGCTCCCTGTATATTTGGATGACCGTTTGAAATGTACACCAATTCAAGAAACTTCGTAAATCTGGATTTTGTGCTGTAAAAGAGATATTGAATAATTGAGATATTGATAATTGAATTGACTCGAACATAGTAAATTTAAAATATAATTAATATTAGTCACTTATCATTTCAATAGAATATATAATCTGTTATATTTATAAAAATTCAAGGTTGTGTGATTTAATAGTTAAAGTTTTATAATGATGATTAACAAGACGGACTTCTTAGCATTTTTAGGTGCTCGAAATCGAGCACGAAATCACTGCAAGTCGAATAAAGATACAAGACACAAGTCTAGTATCTTCTTTATTATAAAGTGTACCTTCATGAATAACTCACCGTTCTCTGATAGTTCAGGAGTACCCAGCATACGTTCCATACGAATCTGCTTGTAAACAAATTTTAATATTGCATTATGCACATCATCTAACCCGCCCCGTTGTTTCTTTAAAGTTCTAGAGATATTAATATTGTTAAAAATTTATATAGACATTTATTTATTTATTCAAGCATACATACTCCAAAATTTCCATAAGACTTAAATATAGTGTTGCATTTTCGCCATGTTTATTCATTACTAAGAAAAAGTAGTCTAATACATCCTCGATATTAATATTAAGTTCAATATTATCTAAGTCGTCAAACTCGTATTCTATATCAGAGGCATTGAGCCAATCATAATCGCCAACTTCCGATATATTAAAGTCACTTGAGCTAGTATCTGATATATTTAAGTCACTTGTGATACTAATAGATGGGGGCGAATTGCTCAAAAGATTCATTAGCTGTATAATTCCGTTCTGCATTTTGGTAAAATTAAGTTAAGCCTTTTTTGGAGGTAGGGAATATTTTGCATTAAATATTCTATAACTTTTCAAAAATTTTTAAATATATGTAAATATTGTGTACTTTTCTGCTATTGCATTTTGCGATTATGTTAGATAATCGCTTAAATTTAATGAAATTTACTATTCTTATTACTTATGTTTTTTTTCTAACAATTTATTTTTATTTATAATGATTTTTGATAAAAAAATATTTCAAAGAAATAGTGATCTAAACTATAATCGGTTATAAATAATTTGTCACACAAATATTACAAAATTGAGGGAAATATTGATTTAGAATTTCTTAATCATCATTACAGTACCAATCTGTGTTTATAGGTATTTATAGGTAAATATGTACAATGAAATTTAATGCATTAAATGGCAATAAACCATTATTACGACAGACTGCAAACTGACAGACTTACCAACACCGCGTTATCAAATTTCAGAATGGTTACAGGCTGCTCGGGGAGGTATGCAGATCTGAGGTCAATTATTGCTTATTCTGATGAAGTGATAAACAATAATCCAGTCAAGGCGTAAAGAGGGGTTTTAAAAATACCACGAGTTAAGCGCACTGGCTCAAATAGAAATAAATAATAAATATATATTTTTTTTATATATTTTATTATGTATAATATATACTTTTTTTGTTAAAATTTATTTATATGTGATTACTTATTCTAGTCATACGACGAGTAGTACATTTAAAGAAGGGTTTCATATATATAAAGTCCACGTAATTTAATATAACATTATTTGTACTACAACGCTACCTCGTCCTTTTATTGGAAAGGAATTGATTTAATTTAATTATGCTCACCTTTACTCACAAAGCAGATTACAAAACTTATTTCAACTTATTTAAAACTATTAATTTGTTGGAAATAAATAGAAGAACCAACTTTGTCCATACCAAACTTGTGTTTACGCTAATGCGTATCCTTTGATATGCCAACCCATGCATATATGAAATTTAAAGCTTCTATTTGCGGATTATATGCATAATAAATACCATTCAAGCTACACATGCAGAGCTCACATGAGCGGTGTCTTTATTTATATGCGAAAACGGTATTTGCGAAAGGATCTGTACAGCTCAGCGTAGCTCGTGTATTTATTGGACAAAGCTTACAAAACATCGTCCTCTAACAAAGATTAATGCTTCAACGACTGATGAATTTTAAGATTAATTAAGTGATGAAGAGGCATTTTGTGAGCACGGGGCCAAAAGCATTACTAATATCATAACAAAAGCAACAGAAAATGCTGTTTGCCTTCCTGTTTAAGGATTAGAAAATTTGTGCGAATTAGTTGCAAACTTTATTCCCTTGCTGGTATCTATTTGTGTTGATGTGAGTGAGTGTGTGTGCGTGTGTTAGTGATGTGTGTGTGCGTGTGTTAGTGATGTGTGTTAGTCCTGGTTGGATGCTGGTTGGCTAGGAACAACGGGAAATGAAACGTCATTCTTGTGTTATTAATACAAGCAAATAAACGCCATAATAAAGGATATAATTGGTAGCATATGTTCATAAAATGCGTTTTGAATTCACAATTAATAAATAAAAATAATATGGAATCATGTCCTTATTAATGTGAGCTTAAGCGAACAAAATACTTTTGCCGTCCTTGTACGTGTGCAAGGATATATGTTAAGGATATTTCTGCTGCTGTTAATGCATTATACATGTCTGTGTGTGTGTGTGTGTGTGTAAAAAGGATTATTTTAGTTTGTATAGTCGAAGCGAAAACTTAAAAGGATTAAAGTGAATGTTGACGCTTTCTATGATTATATATATTATTTCATTGATATTTGAATAATTTTAAGAAATTTTCTGAACTTATCTATGTAGCTTTAATTACTTTTATGTGATATAATGATTTCATTTAAAAAAAGTTATATGATTCAAATTCAAAGTACGAATGTTAGCATTCCTGATCATTTTCTTTTTAAATTTTTTAAGCATCTTCTCAAATTTTTGAACTTTACATAGTTTTAGATATACTCACATTCTTTTTTGGGGGATCATCAAATTTACATACACTCTACTTCTTTCAACAAAAAATTCTACTCAACTATTTCATATTCTTAATTTGTTTTTTTATTTGAGATTTCATTGGTCAACACCAACTCACATATAATCTGCCTAAAAAAATTTACGACTTTGCTGAAAAACAAAATAGTTCAAAAAATTTAAAAAAAAATTACAAATGCTTTTTTTTTTGTTTGGTGGAATAGGAAAACTTATTTAAATGTGAAAAAGTAAATAGCAAACTTTTCACAAATAAGTATTTTGCTGTCAAAATGTAAATCCAATAAGAAAACATTTTTCACCAATATGTTTTTAACTCTTCCTCCGACCGCAGACAGCAAAGAAAATAGAAAATAGAAAAATCCAAACTTAGATTATGTGTATTTATCTTCAGCTTAGTCCAAACTTTTCCGTGCACTTTTCCATGCACTGAGTGCATTTCCATTAAATGTGAACTTTTACAGTTTGTGAGCATAAAAAGTAGAAAAATTATATCAAAAGCTGTTGAAAATCTACGAGCTGCAAAACTCTGCACTTTACATTTTATTTGAATTTTTTCTCAATTTCTTCGGTTTTTTTTTTTTTGGACTAGGTTTGGAATTTATTTCTTTGCTTGCGATTTCTATTTTTTTTTTAATTTTTTTTTTATCGATGTTAGGAATTCAATTCAATTTTTTATTTTCATTTTTATTATTTCTTCTACATTTTTTAACTCTTAGGTGCTCATATTCTTCTATACATTCAGTTGACGTTGCTGAAATTTACCAATCATTACAATTTTAACACTTAACTTGCAATTTCCATAAAATATCATAGGTCACCGAAATAATTTATCCAAATTCTAATTGTCCTTCTCAGAGGGAAAGAATTATTTCGGAGAATTTGAAAGTGATTGTGTAAAAATGTGATTCCTAAATCTTAGTTGAAGATTCGTTAAAAAGAGTTTTAATACTGCTTCATAATGGTCAGTACTCTAAATCAAACCAAAACAAGGTCACATACAATAATCAACGAAGTTTAATTCTGATTTTTAGCTCTAAGAATAATAAAAATAAAAATAATAATTGAATATTTTTGTTTTTGTAATAAAAAAAATGCATTTTTGTCAATAAATCTCAAAAATAACTAAAGCCCTTATAAATAAAATAAATATTAAATAAAAATAAGAAATTAATAAAATATTAAAAATTAATTAAAACTAAAAATTTATTGCTCATAAAAAAATAATAAGAATCTTATGAGTATAAGATGACATTTATATTCCATATCTTATCTTATAAGATAAACTTCTGGGATTGCTCTTATTCAAGTTTTCAATCAGTAATAAAGCCTTTCCAATTTTAATAATTCACGTTAAGTATTTCTTTTCAGTTCAGTTGCCTCTTCTCTGGCCACTTCATACACACACTGCGCGCAAATAAGTGGTAGATGGGCAACCTTTTCTTCGTAAACCTTGCAAGGTTTCATTTAAGCGCCATTTTACCTATATTCTTCTAAAGCTTACGTAAGATGCGTTCTATTCAACTTCAATTCCATATTCTTGTTTTTATTTTTCTTTCGATAGCTTCCATGTTTATCTATTAATATAGTTATTTGTTCTATTCTAAAAAAGGCCAAGAAGTTCAACATTGAGACGCACTATCTTTGTGTCGATTGTATACCAATTATAATAGCAAAGTGATCAATTTATTGTGACATGAGTTCTTAATGCGCGTGTAACCGTCAAAATCTAAACCTGCATTTTTGGTACTGTAGGGAGTAATTACAAACTTCTTTGCGTTGTTTATCACCATTTATTACTAACTTGTTCAACTTCTTTGTACTTGCTTGCAGCTATATTTGCTGCTTACAAAATAGCAAATACAAATACACTCTCTTAAATCTATTTACAACCTCTTAAGTCTAATATCTCTTAAATCTAATTACAATAATACTTATATAAATCTAATTATAATAATACTTATATTACTACAGTACTAATATTACAAAAATATTATAGTACAATTCATCGATATCATCTAGATCTCGATTAACTCCGTGCACAGGCAGCAGCAGTGGTGTCAGAATTAAGGAATATATTCAAACCACATACTTTATTAGTTCAAAAATAATATTATTTCAACAAATTATAATAGATTTATAGATCCATAATATGAATAGATCCATTATTTCATATCTATTATAAACTTCCATAGTTAAGCGATTATCCAATATTTGTCAGCTTCATGCCATAACTCATTTCATCCAAAATTTCTTTATGTAAAAAGTTTTTAAGTAAAATTTTGCTATAAGCAATTTTTAACTTAAAAATAAGTTATACATATTCTATTTGATGTAATTTATAATTGAAACACACAATCTCACCACTTCAAGTAATTCAAAAACTTATGTTGTAATTAAATTTTTATTAATAAAAAACAAACAGAAACAAACACAAAAACAAAAACAAAAAATACAAGACAAGTGTGGGAAATAAAGTATTTAAAGCAATAACATTCGCAGCGAAGCGAATGTTACAACAAAGACGGAAGCTGTTAACACTTTTACATTTTTATGTGTATTCAACATTTTGTAAACATGACTGCACTTTTCATTGTTTACAGACAAAGCAAAAAAAAAACAAAAATAACAACAAACAAGTAAAGGACAAAAAGAAAAATTAAAGAAAGCTCGCTTCTCAATCACACTCACATGCACCGACATTACTCATAGCAGTGACATATGCATGCTGATATTTATGCACGCCTTATGCGAATGGAAGTACAAATGAATAAAGAAAATGAGTTCGTTCTTTTGTTAGTGTTTGTGTGAAAATGTTACTTAACAGATTCTGTCTGAGAGTGAATATGAGTGAGCCAAAGTACGTGCATGCATGCGTTTATGTTTGTTTCTGCGTTTGGGTATGTGTGTGTGTGTGTGTGCGACGGAAATGCAAATACGTTGCTAGCAATAAAATGTTTTACACACTGTTTATTTAAGTTAAATACTAGAAATTATGTGTTTATGCAAGTGTATTTGTTAACACGATTTTAAGTGTACGTGTCTGTATGGTTATGCACACACGCACACTTACAGTAGTATAAACACAGCGCAACAAATGACTTCATACGAATGT